ACACACATATATATACACACGCATATATATACACATATATACACACGCATATATATACACATATATACACACGCATATATATACACATATATACACACGCATATATATACACACACATATATATACATATATACACACACATATATATACATATATACACACACATATATATACACACACACATGTATATACATATACACACACATGTATATACATATATACACACACACACACACATATATACACACACACACACACATATATACACACACACACACACACATATACACACACACACACATATACACACACACACACATATACACACACACATATACACACACACACACATATACACACACACACACATATACACACACACACACATATACACACACACACACACACACACACACATCAAAGCAGCCCTCTGGGGGTGTTGGATGTGCAGAGTCATGACTGGAGGAGTGACGATATATTGTGCAGCGACGACAAATCACACGACGACGCACATGCAGGGGCTGAACCGTTTGTGGCATCAATGGTTTTCTTATCGGGTATACTGTACGCATGTTGTAGACATGTATACTAATTACTTGTGTGGTTAATGATCGGTCAGTTATTAGCTTATTTTATCCTACTTAATATTGTTTCTTGTGTATATTTTGTATAATTTTGCCTACAAGTTTATTCAGAAGTTTTCAACTTGAATGGGAACTTACCTGGTTAAATAGAATACGTAAAAATAGCTACACAGCGTGGGAACATCAGATTGTGTTCATAACTATCATTTACCAGCATATTTGTTGTACTAGCCAGCTTTTGTGTATGTTTTTGTTGGTTTATGTTTCAAAAGTGATTCTCAACCCCCCCCCCCCCCCCACCCAAGGTTTGAGTTGAGGTTAACTGGCTACCTAGATTAATTTAGTTGTAATACTTTAACATACAATAATACATAATCCACGGAATGAATAAATTCATGAATTAGCAGCACACACTCAGGAAAGAGGCATACCTGGAGGAGGGTTTAAATAGACACTGTTACAGGTCAGAAGTTTCTTAATGAATTGGAAATATTCCAGGCTGTATTGCATTCGGTTGTGCATGAATTGGACGTTCTGCTTGCGGACGCTGCACTCGATGACACCAGGCATCTTGACCTGATGCGGCTTGGTGGAGGAGATGGTCAACTCAGAGATGTATTTGACAAGCTCGCTGTCCTTGTCCAGTGAGTCCATGCGCTCATAGAATAGGATGTAGGCATTCCACCAGCGCTTCTGCCTCCGGTACGACATCCTCTTCATCATGTGATCGAACACCTCGCCCATGTACTCCCCTCCAAAGCACTGGTTCTTCATCTCCTCCTCGTCGTCCATCTTACACTCGGTCACGTCGCCGTCGTCAAACTTGTACCAGCGGTTCTTCTCGCCATCGCCCCCGTTCCTCTGGATTATGTAGGAATAGTAGTGTCCGCCACTGGCCTGGCCTGAGTGGACCAGCACTCCAACCAGGCGGTACTTGGAGCTGCCGGGGGGCGTGGGCTCAGAGGGCTCGTTCTGTTGGATCACCTGGTTCTCCGGGTTGACGTCGTCGCCCTCCAGCTTCGCCACACCAGCTACCGTGTACGGCTCCATGTCCAGCTCCCTGGGGAACTCAAAGTAGTCATTGAACTTGATGGCGCACTCCCTCTCCCAGTCGTAGTCGAAGCGCTTCAGCTGGATGGCCAGTACAGGCGGCAGCTTCTTTATCAGCAGGCGCTTCACGGTGTCCACCTGAAGAAGAGAGCGGACACAACGGAAGCTTTGAAACAATGGACAGCCATTAAAGCCTCTTCTATTTCTCCATAGCACTTTATTATCACATTCTAATATTGGCAGGCGTCCAGGTGGGTGCTTCATTCTCACCTTCTTATTACACTTCTCACAGTGGTAGGCATTAGCTCCCTCAAGAAGATCTCCTTTAACGTACTGCTCCATGGAGTCCAACAGGTTCTGGTGGTTTCTGATGTCCACATTGAGTGTTGTGAACGACTCCTCGCACTCATATCTGGCAACGCAAAACATTATTAGGAGCATAACAGGAACCAAAGTTTATATTTCAGAAATTGTTTCTGGTGACTGTGCGCAGGCAGGACTGCACTCACCTGTGGGGGCATCCCTGACAGATCTTCTGGTCGGCGAAGGACCCCCCCAGCACCTTGCTCAGCATGGCGGGGTGGCCCAGGGCTTTCAGAGCTTCGTCCAGACTGTCCACCAAAGAGTTGAAAAACTCCAGAGCATCATGCTGCTCCCGCAAGTTCACTGGCTCACCCCATAACCTAAAAACAGACGGGACAGAGATGAGACGATTAGACATCAGCAACGGCCAAAGAGGAGAAATGCTAAATTACTGTGAGTCTTTGAAATACCTGAACTGTTTCCAGAATCCCCTGGGGATATAGTACTGAAGTCTGGACGCCGCCAGGTGTCCAAAAATGACCTGCAGGTGACGAAGTACCCCGATGTTGTACTCTTTCCTGTCCTCTGACTTACTGGAGGGCTTATCGTCAAACTGATGGTGGTAGCTGAACACCTCATCACGAGGATCTACGTTACTCTGTGGAGACCAAACGCGCAGGTGAAAAATGACTTGCAAGTCTCCATCATCCAAAATTGTTCATTATGTTTTGCGACCGTGTGTCATTGTGTTCACGGGGAAACAAGACTAAAAACTAATCGCCAAATAATGATCAGATATGTACCTCATTCTCTTGCTTCTCGTCCCCTGACATCTCGTCGTCCACATCGGTGCCTGTGCCCTCAATGGCCAGGATGCCATTGCGGATCGGAGGGATCATGTACAGCTGCTGAATGACAGAGTTCATATAACAGGTGGCTCCGGCGTTCTTCAAACCCACGAAGCCTTTGTTGGGCCTCGGCCCCACCGGAGGCAGGTACTCCCATTCTGTCAGTGTCTCGCAACCTGAAAGCAGAGGGAAGGGACAACACCCTCATGCATGATGTAGTTTACAAACCATCAAGTGAAGCTGCCGCACCGCTGTTTACATACCTAAGTAGTACATGTCGGTCAGGGTGTCGACTATTTGCTTGAGGTTGCGGACACACCCGACAGCCAGCGCTACCAGGAGCTCGAAGCCAGCGTTGATGGAAGCGGGGGTGCTGCACACTGGGATGGCCTGCTCTGTGGGGAACTCCCCACTCTTCATGTACTGCAGGTACACATTAGACGCTGGGAAGATGAAGTCGTCGATCAGCTCCTGATCAAAAAGAGAGGGAGAAACATTCTCTGAGTAATGTTACGAGAAAGGAAACTATTATAAAAGGACAATGTTGACATTTTCAGGTGTGGTCCATTTGTTTCACCTTAATGAGGTTAGCTCCTCCCTTCTCGCAGCCAATGTAATACTTCTTCTCTGGCGTCTGGAAGGCTAGAAGCTCTTTGGTAACCCCAAGGTGTCCCTCCAGGATGGTCTCCTCCACCCCGGTCTCCCCTGTCCTCTTAACCTCGTCCTAGTGAATGAAACATGTTTGTGTACCATCAAATCTGCCCCACACTGAACTAGGTTGATTTATAGGCAGCATAATACAACAAATCGGATGAAACTTGCGATTAGCAGGCTGTTTTACCCTTATCCGTTTCAGCCAGTCGATCTCGTTGTTGAGCAGCACCTCAGCGTTTGGCAGGTTGATGTTGCTGTTATAGGCATAGTTCAGAAGGTGCCTGAGTAAAGTGAAGTAGTCTCCAGCGTGTTTGGCTCGCTCCTTGGCCGTACTCTGGACATGGACAACTTGAAATTAGGATCTTGTGAGCAGTTAACTGCTCTGACTCGTTATAAAATGATGGTCTTTAAGAAAAACAAGGCAATATCCACTCACCCCCAACACGGTGAAGAGGAGGGTGATAAAGAAGAGGAGGGGTCGATGGCCCATACAGCACCTAGTTGCCATCAGGAAAAACTGCTCCTGGGCCATTTGACGCACAGATCTGTGAAACACAAATGACGACATCACCATCACGATATCCTGTCAGAACTACGAATGGCTGGAGTTGGGGACGTCTCCGCTATACAAGTCAGTAGATTTAGGCTTCGGGAAATGCGGCCTGGTGTACTTACTTGCTGTGGCAGTGCAGCAGCAAGTCGATGATGAAGGTCTGCCAAGCCTTCTCCTTGCTGAGTGTGTCCAGAGCCGTGGGCATGAGGGCAAAACACAGTGTCATCACCTCCAGGGCCTCGCAACACACCTGCTCATCTTCCCCATCTGGCTCCTTAGCTGCATTTGTCTAACGAGAAAAAAAGAAACAATGAAACCCATTATGCGAAAACACGGCGTTGCAATTTCTACGTTGTAAATCCCTTGAAAGTCCACAAAGCCCATCAAGAGCTCTTTGTCTCTTGATTGTACCGTGAGCTTTTACTGTCCTGTCTCCGAGATTCTACAACAGTCTGCATCTATTACGGAACTCTGCACTGCACAACTGCCCCTCTACTGTGCTCCTACTTCCTATCCAGCTTATTGTACTATGTTTTTAAAGGAGTTGAGCAACATTCAACAACAATGTTAAACTCTCACAAAGAGTAACGTTCAAAGGGAACTTACCTTCTCGTATATCTTGCTAATTTCTTCATTTGAGCTGAAGACGAGCTGCACTGTGCCACAGCCTGATGCCCACACTATCTTCTGTACCGCTCGGATCACGCAGATGTCTGGGATGTACTTCGATGCCTGGAAGAAATTCTATTGAAAAAAGTAGCCCCATAAGATTGTCATCTATTGGTCCAAACATGATGCCTATGAAAACTATTCACAAAAATGAGTTACCATTGCTCATTTTTCATGTATTCTATTCTTACAAACCTCCAACCTCCATTTGCTTACATTTTCTGTGACCTCATCAGAGATCTGCTGGGCTAGGCGGATGGCTACATTGCGCAGCATGCATTCTGAGGCCGGGTTCGGGATGTTTTGCAGGGCACTCTGGAGGACCAGGGCCTGGTCGTGAGTGGCCTGATTGATCTGTAGACAGTGCAGGGAAGGTGACGTTGGTGTGGAGAAACATGAAAACATGTTGGAGATGCCAGTCGAGTACTGAAGAGCCAGTCATTACAGGTATGGGTCTGTGGGAATTGTGTGTGTGTGTGTGTGTGTGTGTGTGTGTGTGTGTGTGTGTGTGTGGTCTAACCGGGGAGACAGGAATATTTCCCTCGGCGTTGGGCTGGCAGGCCTCGGCCACAGCCTTCACATGGCCGAAGCCTACGGCTGTAAGGAGGAGTTTGGCGATCTTCAGTGCGTTGAGGTAAGCACCGCGGCGTGTCTCCATGTCCGCCGATGGGAGGAAATTGTTCCTGGTGAGCATGCTCAACACCAGGGGCAGCCCGCCACTCTTCAAGAAGTTGTACTGGAAGTCGCTGGCGTCCTCGCCCAGAGTGGAACTGGCTGGCATCAGCAAAGCATAAACAACCTGGAACATGGGGAAGAACAGTGTGAACCTTTTTATAGATAAACGGACATGGGACCGAAACCACGGGCCCGCCTCACGCAGCAGGATCAGTGGCAGATCCTGGTTTCTTTGTAAAAACAGGAACTCTCTAACGTGGTACATTGTACACACTTTGTATTCACTGCAGCTAATTTTGTAGTCTTGCTCTGCAAGACAGGGGCCACATCATAATTTACCATGTCCTAATAGAGTTCTAGTACTGCTGTTAAAACACCAATCAACTCACAATGGTTTAATGCTATTTCACAGGCCAGTCAAGAGAATGTAAAAAAACATGGTTACCAGGGCACAAATGTATCACAAACTGCGGAGCAACAGCACACTGGGACCCACCTCAATGAGGTAGAGCACTTGTGAGGGTGAGGGGCCGAAGAAGCGCGAGTCCAGCGAGGGACTGAGGCTGTTCTCGCCAAGCTTGGCGTGGTCCAGACACACGGCTCGCAGATTCTCCACGGTGGTGTTATCTGAAGGGGGAACAGCACAAACGTGAATGAATACGAGTGTTGCCCGTGTGCGTCGTTAGTGTTTACATCAAGTAAACTGGCTGGACAATATGGAGAGCACAGGTGCGTGTATACCTGGGGGCATGAGTTTCATGAGAACTCGAGCTCCATCTCTGAGCAGTGGCATGTTGAGGTTGCAGCCCAGGTCAGCCACCTGCCACAGGAAGGAGATGTAGCGCAGATGTAGCGACATAATCTGTGAAGGAGGGCAGAGGGACAACTTCACAATGTGATTTTGACTTCACAAATAAAAGTGATGTCCCTAACTGACTACAATAAAATGATAAATAAGCAGTCTGATTAAAAGGTTCTGTCGGACTAGTGCAGCTAGCTACTTTGATTGATAAAGAGTGGGCTGGATTTTAAAAAGGTACAATACTTTTAAATGAGGTTTCTCAAATGTTGCAGACCCCAGCGTTAATACAGTATCTGTGCTGTAAACTCACCACACCAGGAAGACAGCTCTCCACCTCAGGGTTAGGGCCATCGCTGTAGTGGTTGCCGTGGTTACCAGGGGAACCAGTGGATGAGTCAGATGAGCTGTCCGGGCTTGAAGGCATGTTGGCACTCACCTGGGTCAGCTTGGCCGTGATCAGCTACACACACCAACAAAACAAATCGTAGCGAGTTAATTCTGATCTAAAAACAAACCATTTGACCAGGACACTGTGGTTAGGATCACTCATTTTAAAAGGAGAGTGCAAAGCACAAAGGAGGCAACACAGCACCTTTCCAAAAGAACAACAACAGTCAAACATTCTCACCGTTTTGTCCTTCAAATTGAGCTGCCCAATCAGCTTCCTGTCATCAGCTGGATCAACGACCTCTCCACCAATGAAGAGCTCGATCTTGGTGTGCGCAGCATTGGCTTTGATCCTGTTGAGGATCCCACGCCGCACCGAACCAATTGTGTCATTGGTGTGTGACCAGATGTCCAAGTCGTCCACCTGACGCCCCTGGTTGGGGAAACGGACGATCAATGTGATATGCTTCCCTCGGAAGGCTCTGCAAGAGAAAACGGAAGACAGGTTGCCCTGAGGTTTCAGTGACGGAGTAAAGACATGCCACCGTTGTTAAACTCAATGAGAGGAACACAGAGGTCCTCAGCTATGTTGGGCAACAATGTACTGATTTTAAGAAAAGTAATCTATATGATTAATTTTAGTAAGAGACTTGTATAAAATATTACTTCAGTCTCTGGGTGGGCATTTAGTTCATTCTTGTGGCTGTACCTTGACATAGGCAGTATAGTCCTCTCCTCGTGGTAGTCACTGTCACACTCATTGATGTACTCTTTGAGTACGGTGAGCACTCGCACCATGCGGATAGCCTCCTGACGGGCGCAGTTGATGCTGTCTTTGTCTCCATCCAACACACACAGCGTGTCATAGGACGCCTTCAGACGGTCAAAACATGACTGGATGAAATCTTCATGAATTTCCACCTAAAAGGGGAAGGAAACAGGTACAATGATGAAGAGACACGATTTATCACCAAATGATTTTAAATAGTTATATTTGTTGACAAATAAATCTGGACAGGAAGGAGACAAGAAAAAACAAAAACAGACAAAGCAGATTAAACTTCTGCCCCGACTGAAACAGAACGACCAGTCTACCTGATTGACTTGTAACTTTGGTCCGAGGTTGGTGTAGATCTCTTTCAGCAGGTCTATGGCTCGGCTGGCGATGTCATCGCTTCCTTGAATTACCACCTGGGGGAGAGAGGAGATTATAGGATGAAGTCATACTCCAAGCTGAAAGCTTGACTTTCATGCAGACACGTCTGTGGCGCTACGAAGCACTTTAGTAAAGAGGAGCCTCATTATTGCCCACTCAGAACACGAGAGGGGGAAGGCGAGGGGCGCAAGGGATCACAAAATATGAATTATTACTATTAATAGTTCTGATTGTAACTTTTAGAGATGCCCCGATCACGTTTTGGTTTGCAGCTGACACAAACTGGCATTCGTTTATGAGCCGTATCTGCCGATACAGATCGTTTTTTTTGTTGGTCTATTTTGTTATAGCAGCTGGTATACAGGGTTCCAGGCTGTTATTTTTCACCAACGTCCTGGAATTTTTTTAAATTATAATAATTTCAACCAATCTGGAGTGAGTGTAAAAGTATTTTTTACTATGCCATAGTCATCTATAGTGGTTATTTGCATAAAAAACATTTCTAATGATACAGAAATAAAATACTTTTTGGCATTCATATTTTTTATTAGGTTTTATAAATCTGTTATTGCTTGTGTTAGGAAGTAATTCGCTCTCTAATATCCGTATAGTGCTGTGAAAAAATCTCTTTCAAACAATTGTTTTTATTTTAGTTTCTTGCCAAAAAGCTACATTTTAGGATATTTGCAGGATAACCACCGCTTTACCCGGCTTGATCGTCAATAAGGTGCTGGAAGTATCAAAAAGCTCAATCTGATAGAATAGATATCCGCACACTTAAATCTATGCAGAGCTTTTAGCTTTCAGTCATAAGGACCTTCCTCAGAGCAAACATATACAAGATTACATCTGAACACATAACTTTATGATACACCTTCACCCAACTTATTTTTACTGAATCGAGCATCGACTGTAGCATAATGGAACTCAATGGAACCTCCTTACGTTAGCCCCAGTGCTGCCAACGTTACTAGCTCTTCTCCAGCCGATTTCACTACAACACTACGCTCAGTTACATGATGAGGCACGGTGCAATGCACTACAAGAGTGACGTTTAATCTCTTGCATGAGAATGTCAAAGAGACAAAACCAAACAGAAATGGCCCTGGAGGAAGAGAGGATCTCAAAAAAACGTGTACAGTCAGTACAGAGAGAGAGTATATTAGGTGGAATATGTATTCTCAGAAGAGGTAGGTCTTGAAGCATTTTCTTACGACATAAAGTAAGATTGAAGTGGTGCTCAAGGTGACTAAATTAAGATCTCTGTTTTTAATGTTTTCAAATTGTTTCTTAAAGCTAATAAAAAAAGTATATAGCATAAAAAGAAAAGAAAACTGGCAAACGCATTTAAAGGCACTTTCAAATGTCTGCCTCCCTCCCCAATAAACACACTGTGTGTGTGTGTGTGTGTGTGTGTGTGTGTGTGTGTGTGTGTGTGTCCATTGCATGGTACTCCTCACCCTCCAGAGGTAGTCCAAGCCTATTAGTTCCAGGTCATCCATCATGTAGGCCCGGCGCTTCGCCACCAGCTTGCCCTCCCTGCAGTTGACCGCCTTGAAGAACCTCTCGAAGCATTTCATGCCATTCTCCGTCAGCAGGGACGGGTCCAACTGCAGAACGTTGTTCTCAAAGAAGTCCTTATTGATGTCTGGGTCCAGGTCTGGTTCATCACCCATCAGCTTGGAGTACCTATTGGTTGGCATTTGAATAAGCATTCAAAACACATGTTTTTGACTTTTTCATTAATGTAAGGAATTCATTTAAGCCGAAGATGAGAAGAAATCAAATCCAACTGTACCATTTGAAGCAGGCCTCGCGGTCGCAGAGAAACACTGCGTTCTCAGCCAGACACTTCCAGATCTGCTTGGCCTGAGGGGCACACAGCCAAAGCTGACCATCTTTTAGCAGAAACCTGGAAAGTAAAACCAATAGGAAAATCAATAGCAGACGCTGGTGGCCAGAAGGTTAAAGAAATATGCTCGTGAAGGTCATTTAGTTCCTCCCAGACGTGAATCATAATAGCTGGTGGGGTGAAGTCCCCGGGTACCACTTGCTCCTCCCTAATTACCCACTGCTGTCCTTGAACGAGCTACTTCAATTGAGTGGCTCAGTAGCTAGAAGACACGACTGCGGATGTAATGTGTAGCTGCTCGGCTTTTTTTTTTTACAAAATGGACTACGACAGTAATTGAATGGATCTAGTAGCAATACAGCTGAACCGAGCCAACGCATTATGAGAGATGTGATCCTGATTTAACACAAAATCCAGCTGTGTTTAAGGCAGAATATGATCGATAACTAAGGTTTTTATATCTAAACTTCTTCCATTTCTAGTGGTCGTCTCAGCTTTTACTAAAACGTGAGATGTGATGTTGTACCTCAGGAAGTTGAGTCGTTCCTGTACTTCCTGCACATGGCTGTAGCGGCTTCCTGGTCTGACCGTCTGAGGGTCAAACTCAGCCTGTTCTTCTGTAAGAGCACACATACGAGCGGTCAGACTGCAGACAGTGCACACCCCTGACCCAACTGCTGTACCCACTGAACCGGGGCGCTATTTGTGGCCCCCCAACAGCGTACCTTTGGAGAACTGCCTCATGGTCTCCATGTAGGCCGAGAGGTTCTCGGCCACCAGGGTGACCAGAGCGTGGTTATGCTGCAGCTGGTTGATCAGGTCATGGCGGTAAAACACATGAGGACTTCTCTGAGTTTGACTAAGGAGAGAACAGCAGGAGGAGGGGAGGTTGTCAGGGGGACAGAAAACAGAAATACGCTGAGGAAGCAAGGAAGACTAAAAAACAAAGTGAGAATGAAGCTGACATACACAATTGAACACAATTTCTGATTAAAAATAAATAAATAAATAAAAACATAGCATGACTGATTTCTCATTTGTTTTTGTTTTTTTAAAATCAGGGAGATTAAGAAAGCAGCGTTTGGTGTATTTGTGTGCGTGTATATATATATACAGTGGGTACGGAAAGTATTCAGACCCCTTTAAATTTTTCAC